ATTTGCTCTTGCCTTGGAGAGAAGTTGCCACCACTGGCCCCAGGTGGGGATTATGAATTTCTACCAAACACTTCCTCTGAGATCCTGCCTTATAAGCAGTATTTACCATAAGCTACAACCTTTGAAATTCAGATTACTTTACAGTCATAGCTCTGAGGAGAGTATGTCCCTTACAGAGGTTTGCTTCTCAACCTTGACAACAGAAAATCAGCACAGCCCTGTGAACAGCAGACCCGATCTCCTGGTGTCCTATACTTTGCCCAACTGCTTAGTTTCAAACTGCAAGTGTCACCACCTTCCAAGGGGCTGAGGATGCCAGCGGCTCAGTGAAGCAAGGGCTCCCTTGAACTTTCTGTGCTGTCCTTGTCTGTGACCACTGGGTGGCCACCAGCCTCTGAGGTGAAGACCTGAGCTCCGCAAATGACACAAGAGATACTAACTGTGGACAACGCTGCTGTGACCACACGCCACCAAGGACCACCCATCCTCAGTGCATGCCTGACAATCGAGTAACAAACTGCTCCACCTCTTCTTCACTCAGCGGTCCCAAGGTACCATCTACTCTACATCATTGGGCCTGACATGTAACCTTTCTTACAGGGTAAGGATAGGTGGCACAGGTGCAGCACCCTCTCAGGATGAAGATGCACCACAGACCTAGATCCTGAGTGCTTGGCAGGTATCGAACCCCTCAGGTCATGGCCAGCCAGGATCTTTCTGAACGCTTTCCAGCCTTCTTGAAGATCTGATCTAACTGCCCAGCATCCTTTCACCCACAGTCCTCGGATCAAATCCAGACACAACTCATTTCCTAACCTATAACTGAAGAAACTCAGATTAGAGACAGAGGGAAACAGGGCAAAGAATGTTCAGGGGAGAGAAACCACACACTTGTGCAAATCCAGAACTTGCAGCATCGGGGAGAGTCCCCTGCAGATGTGGAGCTGAGTAAGTACTTAGGTTCCAACACTGCTCACCAACTCTGTAGGCCGGGCACAGCCATCTGGAAGAGTGTATGTGGGACTCACACCTCCTGGAGACTGACATGGCTCTGCAGTACTCTCGGTACAGAGGCACAACACTTACCTGGTACATATGGGGCCTGAGTTCCACCCCAGCACCGCCAAAAGGATAAAAAAGATAAGACCAAAATAAATAAATATTTTAAATTACGCATGAATGGAATTTGTGTTTAAAGAAAGAATGACTGAGCAAATGCCTCCTCATCACCCAGCAAACAAGTGCTCACCACAGAAATATGAACCCAGACGCATACAGCGCTGAAGCAGGACAAGGCACCAGGACAATAGTGGATCTGAGAAGCATCCATCAGGGCAGGGCAGGTCCAGGCCAGCTCCCTGTTGACACAATGCTCTGTCCATCTAGCTCTACTGTCTCAGTTTATCTTTAAACTCTTCCCTGTGACCCTGTAACATGAGGTTTCTGGCCCAGCTAGGACCCTCTACCAGGCCAGCCAGAAACCACAAACACAATGAAGCTAGGGACCAGGCTCAGGGAGTAAGGACACATGTACTCCTCAGCTGCTTGACCCTCAGCCCTGCCACAAGACACTTGCAAATATGAGGGTGGAGCACAGCACAATCCATTTGATGAAAACTATAGAAATCTTACCTCAATAAGTCATCAGGAGAGTGAATTTTAATAGTGTGTCTTCCTTTAATGTAAGAGATATTGTACTGACTAGTTTTATGTCAACTTGACATATGTTTGGATCATCTGTGAACAACTCAACAGAGAAAATGCCCCCATAGGATGGACCTGCAGGTATGTCTGTGAAGGCATTTTCTTGATGATTGATATGGGAGGGCCAAGCTCACTGTGGGCAGTGCCACGTCTAGACTGACTGGTGGCCCTGGCTAACATAAGAAAACAGGCTGAGCAAACCAAGTCATTAAGCAGCCTCCCTCAATGGCCTCTTTCAGTTCCTGCCCTGACTTCCCTCAGGAACGTGACCTGAGAGTTATAAAATGAAATAAGCCCCTTCCTCCCCAAGCTGCTTGTGGTCATGGTGTTTTGTCACGGCAATAAAACCACTATGACAGGTACCAGACGGAAGACAAGATTACGCTATGAAAACCCAGACTACTATTACAACATGCTGTGTATTCTGAGGGATCGGGGAGTTGACACAATTTACATTTAGGACTCCAGGGTTTCTAGGGTGCTTAGGATATGTGAGAATTTCTTTAGCTCTTCCACGTTAAACTGGCACACACTAAATACCAGCTCCATGAGAAGCCTGGGACCACCCAATGCCTCAGATTTGAGGATACTGACGTACACATGAAGCCACCTCAAAGACGGGTCCAGGTATAAACATGAAATCCACTTGTTTCTTTACATCTACTTACACTGTGCCTGTGGTTTCAACACAACCCGCCCCTTATAGAGGTACAGAACTGAGAGTGGGTATCCTGGTGCTCAACATCTTCTTAAGGGTTGCTCAACCTATTTATGTTTTATGAATTCTTATCTCTTCCACTAGATCTTTCACTTACCTCTTTCTGACGATCTACAAACCGAATCTTCCTGTAGTCTTTCTCATCATAAACCTACAAAAAAGAAATAATAAATAAAACACCACCTACTATTTTTACAATTGAATTGTGAATGAAGTCACATAACATTGATCACCAATATCACAGGACCATGTTCCCTGTGGCCTAAAGCCACTGATGAGGAGACAGACCCACCAAGAGGCAGTGTCCTTGTACTGAAGGAATCCCGAGGTGATGACAGACTAGGGTGCAGACTGGAGACAAGCCCCTGCCTTCACAGACAGCCAACCACTCCAAGAGGGGACACTTCAAGGAGAGGCACTGCTCTCCCCGCCCACCCTGGCCATTATATTGCACGTTAGAATTGCTTTGTTCCCTGCTACTAAAGCTTGGAACTTAATATAAAGATATGATTCAAAGAACGGGCGAATACCAACTCCCAATCGGAAGCCACCGGCTAGAAGTCAGAGCTGGGCTGCGGGCTGCGGGCTGCACCCCAAGGTGAGCCCCAGTAGGGCTGCGCGCGAGCCTGGCAGAAGCACACCTTGCTACGCGCCCCGCTACCGTCAGTCTCGGGCTCCAGGCGTGGCCGCTGCGGCCGTTACCTGGCCGGTGTGCGTGATCTTCTCCCCGCTCGGCGACACTCGCACCCCGGAAGCCTGGGAAGCCCTAGGGAGAGCCAGCAGCCGGCGGAAGGTCAACGCCGCCGCCATCTTGCCGGTGACCCTTGACCCAGCGCGTCGTTCAGAGGCGCCGACGCAGGCGCGCCGCTGTCAGCGGGACCGCACTCGCGGGACTTATTTCGTCCTGCGGTTTCCCTGGGCCGGCGGGCAGGCAGACGGGCTGGTTCTCCTGCAGGATGGGTTGATGAGCTGCGGCTCTAACCGTGCGCGCAAAGCGGAAACCGAAGATGCTCTGTGTGCGCTTTTATGGCCATAGAGAAAATGCAAAACTTCAGTGTTTGCTGAGTAAAGAAATATTGTTCAGCAGTAGAAACAGGACATGCACTTAACTTCTCTGGTCATGTGTGTTGGGGAAGGAAAAGGAGACTTCTGAGCACTTTTGCAACAGCGCTAATCAGTTTGCAGTTAGACTGCCAGCGATTTTACCTGGCATGGAAAAGCAACCTTGAAAAGCTCTGCTAAGTAGAGAGACCTGATGGAAATTGCCCCCTGTAACTCTGGAGAGCCTGTTGGCTCGCCCGTGTCACTTGACTCTGAGTCAGAACCTTCCTCAGAACATCATACACTGTTACACCGTAGTGTGAGCAGCTTTGCTCAGGTGTGGACAACATGGACACGGACCCCAGACTCAGCAGGGAGGGATCACTAATTCCAAGAAAGTGCTACCAACAAGCATGTATTGTTTGGGATCCCTCGGGCAGGGTTGGAGGCTGATGACCTGGCCTCCTACTTGCCTCTCCGTGCTACAGCCATAGCATAAGGACTAGTTGAGTCTGAAGACAAAGGGAAGATGACCAGAGAAGGTAGTACGACACAAGGATGCACACACACAAGCCTCACAAAGTTGAAATTTGCCCCAACAAATGTGGACCTGAATTGCCCAGGCTAGCCTTAAACTATGTAACTCAGGCTAACCAGCACTCACCATCTTCCTATCTCAGCAGCACTGATACAACTCTGGGGTCAAGGCATTCCTGTGTCCAGGTGCCAGGGTGGGTTAAGTGAACTTTGTGTGAAGCTTGAGACTGGGAAGTCAGAAATGGGAAGGGTAGCCTTGCTGGCAACCTACTTTGCTATACATAAAAATAAGATGAGTGGGTTTACGAACTGCCTGAAATCCGAGATGTAAGAGAGTTAACCGTAGAAGCCAGTGATGGTGTGGGGAGTTCACTGTCGAAGTCTTTCCACACTTCTGGGAGCTTTTCATAGTTTGGGGGTGAGGAGGGCCTTAACGAACTAAAGCAGTGTCTGTGCTTGCTCTCCTGGCCTTTTCCTACGTGTGCCAGAATGCCACTTAATGGAAACACGTGACCTGCACATTTAATCTGGATGTAGGCTTTTTGTTTTCCCAATATATTCACCGTTGGCAGTTTCTTTCTCAGTCTAAGTCTGCATTTTTGTACTTAGTTCTGCATTTTTGTACTTAGTTCTTGCTTTCTCCTTGTCTCCACCCCACCCCCACCGTCTGTCCCAATCCACAGCGGTTCCTGCGCCTGCAGCCGCAGTTGCATCTCCGGAAGCACGCTCCTTGGGCTTCCGCTCCCACGTGACCGCACGCCATCTTTGTTCTTGGCG